ATTCAAAAACAAAATCTAAGTGACATTTTTGTTTTTTTGTTAAAGTATGTGTTCATACATAAGCGTGTGTGTGTATATTTTCGTAATGTTAAAATTAGTAAGGGCGGAAAAATATCAAACGAAGCGTAATAAAAACAAAAAACAAAAAAAATACAAATAAAAACGGAAATGAAAAACAAACTTTGTAAAAGAGAACGACAGAAAAAATTTTTCTTAACCTAAAAAAATCGTGAAACTGAAGAGAATAATTTGACAGATGTCTTCGCTGATTCGTGTGCCGTGACTTTCTGTGTTGGTGTGTATGTTTGTCGGTGTGTATCTGTGTGTGTAGCGTGTCTCAATTTGATGTGTATTGGCGTGTGAGTATGTTTGTTTGTGTGTGGTAGGTTTGTATGTTTTTGTGTGTGGTAGGCTTGTTTGTTGATGCGTTTTTGTGTGTGGTGGGTTAGTATGTTTGTGTGTTTTTGTGTGTGGAAGGCTTGTTTGTTGGTGTTTATTTGTGTGTATAGGATGTTTGAGTGTTTTTGTGTGTTTTTGGGTGTGTATCGACACCCTAACAACTCTAACAACAATTTCAACAATAACAACAATAAAAGCAATAACAACAATTTCAATAATAACAACAATAAAAGCAATAACAGCAATAAAGCAACAACAACAATGATGTCACAACGGCACAACAACAACGACCACATTAACAACAACAAACAGCGTCAAGAGCAGCAGTTAAAGTGACATTGTTGTTTTCTATAGATCGCTAAACATGTCTCCAGACCTGATCTATCGATGATATGACAAAATGAACAATAATACAAAAAATGAAAATAAAAAAAATCTTTTTTCTTCTCTGTGCCAAACATTTAGGCTTAAGAAAAATATACAATTAGACTTTACGCTCATTATTTGTATTATATTTTATCTAAATTTAATGTTAGAAGAGGGCTTTGACCAGGCGAATGCAACGGTGGTTCGGGGACTGAAGCCTCCACGCTATGGAATAAAGTATGAAATAATCAAAAAGTGGAATGAAAAGAATTTGATACGGAGAGATATATATATAATGTTATAATGAGAAAAAACAGAACAAAAGCGATTGACAGAAGAAATGAAGAAATAGACACAGAGAGAGGAAAAGAAGGGAGAGAGAGAATGAGAGAGAGAGAGAGAGAGAGAGAGAGACAGATAAAAATAAAGAAAAACCATTTACCTTTATGTTTGTATGTCAGTGTATGCGTGTATTCATGCCTGAGTAGGCAGAAATTATTACCAGAAGAGGAGACAGCGTTTGGATGGTATGCATGTCCGTTATGGGTCGTCGCGCGTGTGGTTAGGTACATTCGAATGTACAATCTAGTATGATCCATTAGGTTTCTCTTGGTTGCAACATTCTAGATTGTGTTCTTTTCTTCTTGTTTCATTTTTATCCACGTTCTAGATTGTGTTTCTTCTAGTTTCTCTTTTTCTCCACATTCAATTACTCATTCAGCTTGTTAGAAGTTCCATGTCTCACGCTGTTATTACGCAATGATCTGGTTCGAATGCTGCCTGTTCTAAATTTTTAGACACTCAAACTCCGGGTTAATGAATGAGTGAGAGAGTGAAAAAATAAACGATTTTCAAACTCAAAAGTCATTAACCGCGGAACAATTTTACAAAATTATTTTCTAGTAAGAATAAAAACGTTCCCTCTGATAAATGAAGCAATCTATCATGGCAAATGACATTCAACATGAAACATTGCCATTTGAAAGAATGAGCACCGTTTTGATGTAACGGTTAAAGGTGCTTTAAAGTTACCGGGTTCGAACGCAGTGTGTGAAGCGTGGATATGTACGCTGTGTGGGCGTGCGTGTGTTTGTGTGTTGGTGTGGGTGTGTGTGTGAGTGTGTGTGTGGGTGTGTGTGGGTGTGTGTGGGTGTGTGTGGGTGTGTGTATGTGTGGGTGTGTGTGTGTGTGGGTGTGTGTGTGTTGGGTGTGTCGTTGAAACTTTTTAAACAAGAGCAGAAAAAGGAAGAGAACTTTCTTAATCTTTAATCTTTTATATTTTTAAGTGTTGAAAGTGAATCCGAATCAAAAATATAAAATCACCTAACAGTTATATATATATATATATATATATATATATATATATATATATACATATACATACATATAAATATATATAAACAATATTAACAGCAACACAAGCAACAACATAAACAACAGCAACAGCGTCATAGATTGACAACAACAACAACATATAATAAACAATATCTGTCAATGATTATAAACATCACATGACAACCACAACAAATCAAACAACAGCCCCATGTTCAACGAAAATAAACATAAACAGACATTAAACAACAGCACCATGTTTAATGGAAATAAACATAAACAAACATTTAACATAAACAAACAACAATAGAAACCACGACAAAGTGATGAACGGTAATAAATCTAAGACGATAAACTGCACAAACCATGCCATAAACTTGAACAACATACAAACAAACACCTCAAAGAATATAAACAGAGTGAAATGTGTTGGATGGGTCAGGGTAATGACATTTACTTGAGTGCCCTCTTCAATAGTTAATGTCTATGACGTGGCGATGAGGACGATGATGATGAAAATGATGATGACGTCAAATAATGATGATGATGACGACGACGACGATGATACCTACGAATGTGGCTTAAAAGCGGATGATGTTGCTGGTAATAAATGATTTATTTAACAATATAAATGTACAAATAAAAATAAATGATCATCATTTTTGTCGTATTCTGTTTATATAATTTGAGATGTTCGTATGCTGTTCAAGTTTATGTTTGTTCACGTATCATAACATCAAACGTTACAAAAAATACGCAGTGGTCATGCCGTCTAAGCCACACGCCACACACGACACACAATCTACACGCTTCAATCGTCTCAGCCACACACCACAAACGCCAAGTAAAAAAATTACACACACTACACATACACCACATGCATCAAATTAACCACTCACTCACACACTCACACACACACACAATGCATCAAATTAACCACTCCACTCACTCACACACACCACACACACACACACACACACACATACGCACAAATACATGCATACATACATGAAATAAACCACACATACCAACAAAGACATTCCCACAATGAAATGCCCAACAGTAGCAACCAAACTACTAAACAAAACCAATGTCATCCAGCACATATTCGCTCTAATTAAATCATCCATCAATCAGAGACGAGACAACTGGCTTCAAATGCACGCGAAGTAATCGAAGTAATATATAAAAATTTAAATAAAAACAAAATGAAATGAAAAAGTCAGCAATGCTAAAAATTGCCGTTTGTGTGTGTGTGTGTGAGTATGTGTGTGTGAGTGTTTGAGCGTGTGTTCGTGTGTGTATATATATATGTGTGCGTATGTGCCTGAATGTGTAGCCTGTTTGTTTTTGTCTCTCTGCAAAGGAATTTATAAATATATTATCTTTGTTTTACTTTGTTATACAGAAAAATGATTTTAGTCATATAAAAATAATACCCAAACTGATCAACAACATACCAGACTCACACCACACACGCACACATACACGCACACACACACACACGCACACACACATACACACACATGCACAAACGCACACGCACACAAGATGAAACAACATCACATCAGAAAATAAATCTAAAATTAAAAAAAAAACAAATAGAAAATTAAAATGGAACGTTTTTCTTTCGAAGTGACAGCTGTAGGAATGAGTGCCAGGCAAGTACAAATTAAATATTCATACATTAACACTCAGCAAAAGACGAAATAAAAATAATTTCAATCACTAAAATTTATTCGAACAAAGCGCTATACAAATCAGGAAATTGACAGCTATTACACACATCATGTAGTCAGCAGCTATACATACACATCATGAAATCAACAGTTACACGAATCATGAAATCAACCCATTAGAAAACAGTGGAGCATTTTATTTAATGCAGAAATAAGTGTATCTTACTTACGCTATTTAATATGTAAGCACAATAAACATATACACAGACATTCATTAACACACACGTACACACACACACACACACACACATATACATACACACATACACAATAAAAAAAAACACATGCAACGTAATGAGAGATGAATGCGTGCAAAGCACTCATTGCTGAACTAATTTAACTAAAATGATGAAACTACATTTCGCGAAGCCATAATGGTTATTAAATAAAGCCAATGATGATGACGATGATGACGATGTGATAATGATAATGATAATTTAGAAGATGACGATGATGATGACAACAATTATTACGGTAAAGTATAATGGATAGGGGAGAAAAAAGAAAAAAACATAACGTAAAAACAAAAAGTTGGATCGACAGAACAGAAAAAAATTAAAATAAACGACTGAGATTTATATCAAAAACTAGAAACAGTGTAAAAAAAATTTTTTTTAGCTGTTTTGGATATTGTTTTAATTGCGGGAATGATCAATTAGCGCTAGGTAATTAATTATTATTATCTTGTTACATTTGTAATCTTTGTTATTTGTTATTGATTGTAAGCCAGGGAATCTTTTCATACCATAGAAGATTGTAAAAATCTACTGTAGTTGCTATTTAAGGGGTTGCGAATAGAGAAGTTTTTAGCGAGGTTTGAAGGGGAGTCGTTAATGTGAGTCATTTAGTTACTTGGATTAGTTTAGCGTTTCTGTTACTGTTGGTATTCTAATAAATGTTCAACAAAGTTTGCGTTTGAAGCAGTTGTATTCATCTATCGAAAATCTTGAACCCACGAAATGACGAAAGCTACATACATACATACATACATATTATTATTATTATTATTATTATTATTATTATTATTATTATTATTATTATATTATATTATATTATATATATATACATATACATCCATACATACATACATACATACATTTTCTTTTTTTGGTCTCCGAATCATTCATGCTTTTTGTTTTGTTTGATTGAATAAAAGTGATTTGATTAAAAGCGATTTGATACATACATACATACATACATATATACATACATACATACATACATACATACATACATACATACATACATACATACATACATACATACATACACACACACATACACACACACACACACACACATACATACATGCATACATACATACACAAATATATACGCTCAAAGCGCATCTTGCAATCAATTATTTATCGGTCAGTGAGCAGTCAGTTAGTGTGTCATATTTTTGCTAAGTTCTTGCCCAACTGCGTGTTTTCAATCTTTTTCTTCTGATGAATAACAAATTAAATGCACTGAAGTGAATGTACCATTTTATAAAGTGGATGAGGTGTAAAGTGAGAAAAATATTTTGTTATAAAATAAGGTCGCTTTTGTAAAAAATAAATAAGTTTTTCTTCCGTGAATATTTTTTAAAAGTTTTTGTATATATTGATCCTTTTTTTAATAAACTCTTTTTATTTATTATAAATAATTTTTCAAGATTCTCAACAATAGATATATTCATCACACACACATGGAGTACATCGTTGAATCGACGAAACGACTTATTTCTATGAGTCCTAGAATGAGCGAAAAATTCTACCCTTGACGAACCTTTCCGTGCACATGTTCCACAGATTCACACACCTGTACTATCGCCGCTCAGGGCCGTTTGTTTTCGTCGAGTCCTTTCTCAGCAAGAGCAGCTGTGCCTTTAGTTCAAAAGCGGAAACCGCCGACTGGATAGACCTTCTCCATTCCGAGCGCCACATTTTTTCATATTTTCTTCAAGGCTGTCTTTGTATCTGCGTACAGGGCCACTTGCCAGTCTATTTCCCGACGCTAGCTGACCAAAAAAGACCTGTTTGGGAATTCTTGTGTCTGGCAAACGTATAACATGCCCTATCTAACGAAACTAAGTTTGAAGCAGCAGCGATTCTATACCCATTGTAACGCACTTTACCAGAACCATTGTGTTTGGGACACACACACGCACGCACGCACGCATGCCCGCACATTAAATGCGATAGATGGGAATATATTTGCATTTATTTGCATTAGAATCCTGTCTCTGCAACTCAAGTCTAGGCACCTCTACCACTATTTCTAACAAATTAACACTGATAATGCAAGTGTAAAATATAATGGATATTTTTTTAAAAGTTTATTTGAAACAAGATGATTAAATATTCAGGGAAATGCTTTACTAAGAAAAGAAACATTTAAAAAATGTTATCAAAGAAATGAAAAACTAATTTGCATATTACCCTGTTGAAAAACGTCCGCTAAAGACTGAAACACTAAAGTAAAAATACATTTGGTGGACTAACGACATGGTTCAAATTTTCAAAAACATTTTTGCACTTTTTAAGATTAGATAGATGGATTGCGACAATTTATTATGCATGTCCGTGCTAATGTAAATGTTTTTGTATGGGTGTGACCGAGGTGTGCACATGCTTGGATGTGTGCACGTGTGATTATTCATGTGTAAGCTTTGTAAATGTGTATATTCTTAAGTCGTTAATTTTTTTAATTTTTTTTTAACAATCATAAATCCTCGCTTGGTATTTTAATAAATAAATTCGTAATTCTTTTATAATTAAATGATTTAAATATATAAATGTGAAAATTGAATTACACAACTATATATATTTATTTGATATACCAAAATTACTAACTTTTAATGGCCACATCTGAATGCACACAAAAAAAAACAAAAAAAACCAAAAAAACATCGAGTTATCTTGTTATTGGAGCTGCAATTGACACCTTTGAGAATTAAGATAAGTTTGAAAAATAGCGCGCGTTCTGAGATGCAAAATCAATTGTTTGCATTGTTAAAATGGAAAAAAATATTGAAAAACTTATTTTGAGTTGTCAATTCTATTTTTTAGGCCATTTTAGTTAGATCTAAAATAAATTTTTGAAATAAAAAGATATTAAAAAATGTTTATTATAATTGTATATATTAATCTAAGCCACACTTCTTTCTTTAAAACTCTTACATTTTTTAACTAATGAGTTTAGATAATTTTAAAAATTTGATTCAACTTTTTTTATTCAACGATCCAACATTCCAGCAGACAACGCACACATCTTTGGTCTATGTTCATTTTAACAAAATTTTAAAGCATTTAGCCAATGTTATTTGATTTCAAAATATTTATTTTGTTAACATTCTATGAATGCCAAGTTGTCTTACAAAATGTTTTTTGTGTTTAGAAAAAAATAGTTTTTACATTAAAGAATGTAACAGTTTTGAGACAAGAAAAAAACACAAATTATACCTGAAAATTTTTGAAACGCAGACACACGAGAACAAATAAAATTATTTGAATAATTAATTTGAAAAAAGACAGAAAAAAACAAAAAAAAATAGAAAAACCAAACAAAAAAGAAGGAAAAACAATTTTTCGAGTCTAAAAAATTGGTACACATGTATGTGATATGATTGCATGGAACTAATTACATTGGAGTATCATCACGAATCGCGTGAGATGTTTCCATTAAAAAAGATCATTATCTTTTTTTTCTATTTTTTTCTTCTTTTTATTATTATTAGTAGCAGTAGTAATTGTAGTAGTAGCAGCAGCAATAGTAGAGGCAATACCAGTAGTGGCAGTAGTTTTGAAGTAGTAGTAGTAGCAGTAGCAGCAGCAATACTAACAGGGCCAAATTTATAAGTGATGAATACTTAGAGCCACAAAAAATTATTCGCAGGTGGTACCTATAATTTTTTGTGAGGAACTACAATACTTGTTGAATATATCTGAAAATTTCTAATTTTTCCAAACCAGTGAATTTAGAAAAAATATTAAAATATTTTAAAGTTGCTTTTTTTGAAGGCCACGTTTTTATTTCAAGGTTACAGAATTTATACTCGTTTATTATTATGAACAAACAATAAATTTGTTACATAATAGGGCATTCCAAAAGAGTAAATCTTAACTAAGCGGGATCCCCAACATTCAAAATAATAATCCATAAACTCATAGTTTGACTAAATAAATGTAAATTAAATAATTTTATATTTTTAAAAATTTATAATTTTTTTGATTTTAGTTTTTCAAAAAAAAAATAGTTTTCCATAAAGTTCCTCCATGTGAAAACCCCGGAAGGTCAGTGCCTGGTCTTTAATCCAGCCTGGAGTGTTAGTATTTGTATCTTTTGTATAATTATTTCTGAAAAGCTCGTTTGTTAAATAAAAAATATTGTAAATATATTTCAAAATAATTATAAGCAAATAATATTTCCATGAAATAAACTAAAAAAAATCCATAATAATCCATAATAATCTATGAGTTAATCGTCGTCACGGTCTGCCAATAGATTTAAAATATCTTACACCCCATTTTGAATATGGGTTAACACATGTTTTTTATTACTTGTTTCTTTTTATTAATTTTTCATTTATTTATTTATTCATTCATATATTATTATTTCATTATTTTTATTTTATTTTGTTTTTATGCAACTACAAAAACAACAACAACAAGAAAAACCAGCACAACGACTAGCATGATCACTGAAACGATCACAACAACAGCCACTACAACACCATCCAAAGCTAACGCTAACTCAAACACGACGTTCAAAACATCCACAAAGCCAAAACACTATAAACAACAACCACATCATCAGCCACTGTAGCAACATCATCAGCTACTGCAACCACAATAACCACATTCTAATTCACTACAGCTACTACAACAACCACACAACAACCACCACCAAAAAATGAGAAATGAAGAAGCAATGACGCCTTGCATCTTCCAACACCTAATTCCTTGCTGACAGCTAATTAAAGGAATTTTTTTTATAATATTTTTTTTTACTTTTCATTTTTAATTTTGGATATAAATAATTTGGAATGGTTAACAAATCTAATTTTATGCTAGATTTTTTTTATTTTTTTTTCCAAGTTTTAAATAAATTTTGCAATTAGATTTTTTATGTTTTTAACGATTTTTGCTTTAAAGTTATAAATTGTTTTTAAAAATTAAAGAAATCGTATTTATTTATTTATAATTCATACATAAATTTTTCCTGCAAATGTAAAATAAATTTTTCACTTTTTATTTTCAATGGAAAAAGATATATCACGTCAACTGTATATTTATATATTCATTTTTCTATTAGATCTACTTACATTTGGTGAATATTTTAAGAGGAATTCCTAGAATTGCCTGTTAAAATATGCTTACAATTTTTTTTCAAAAGTCAAATTGAATAGGACATAAAGAAAAAAAATTTTTTCTAGAAAAATAATTTTTATATTTTTCTTTTGCCACATTTAAAAATTCGTAAAAACAATTTTGACACAAAATGGATTTGACTTTCAAGGTTTTCACTTTTTTCCAGCAGTCTACCTGTAAGTCTTTTCTTGAACCGTGGCTTGGGGCGACATTTTGAAAGACGCACCATCAAGTATCCGTAAAAAAATTACTTTTTCCAAAATATTTATGAGGATCTTTAAAAAGATATATATAAAACTGTATGTAAAAATGTAGCTAATATATTAGCGGAAATGAACATATTAGCAAAACAACAGAAAAAAATCTCAACGATTAATCTGATCTCAACTTCACGACAGTTCAAAGCACAGTTAACAATTTCGACAGTTAAATTTTAACACTCACACATTTTTGAATCAATTGAAAAGAGGTGATTCTCTGAGAAACCGGGTTTAAGGTAGGGCAGGCCCTAGAGGCACCCACAGAAATGGTTTCCATTCAAAAGACCCTCTACAAAATGCAGTTGTTTTTCCATTTATTTGTATTTTGCATTGATAGGCAGTACTTACAAAGTACCTAATTTGGTTATAAAGGTCCATATCTATTTACATTAAGACACTTTATTACTTTTTTAAATGAAATTCGTTCTTTAATAATCCGTTTTTTTAAAATATATGCAACGTGTATATATTCAATTGTTAAAAATGGGTTGTCACACAACGACAAGAAATCAAACATTAGCATAATCTTCTCTATTAGCATAATCTTCTCCATTAGCATAATCTTCTCCATCAAGATCGCATTAAAGTACACACGCTTGCAAACGTTCTTATCTTTCGTCATGAATATCATGTATTGTCACGTGTAAACGAACATTAAGAATCAAATAACAGAGTTAAGTATAGAAAAAGTTATATAAAATAAATTCATCTTCAGTGTTCAGA